AAAAAAAAAAATTACAACTGAATTACAATTTGACACGGCAAAGATTTAAGAACCTTAACAGTATGGAGATCGTTTGATAATTAAGTTTTTCTATCAAAGTGGTAATCGAAAAGGGATTTTGCATGCCTGCTTTGGATAATTCCTGATATAAGTCAAAGTTAGGATTCTTATTTAGTGGACATTCCAATATGATGTGATTTAAATCACCCACCTGTCCGCATTCACAATACGGGTGAGTCAGAATTCCTATTCTGTGCAGATGCTTGTTGGTTAAACAATGACCTGTTCTCATTCTAATTATCGTTGTTAGATGCCTTCTGTCCTTATATGGAAACAAGGTGAACCATGGGGAACTTGGGAACTCCTTTATTAATATATTGCTTATTGTATAATATTTTCAGATTGACGTCTTAAATTCTGATTCACATGAATCTGAGGATGATACTAATTCAGATCGCCGTAAAATAACCAAAAAGATGAGGTTAAAATAATATTATTTTAATAAACGTTTTACTTTATCCCACAATACAATCATATTTAAATTATTTATAGTCTTACTTAATTGGTAATTTTCCGAAAAACAGATAAGGTACATACAATATTTGTTAATCGCAATTTGAATTTAATTCGTAAATACAAAAAATTTAAAAGAAAAANTGAGGTTAAAATAATATTATTTTAATAAACGTTTTACTTTATCCCACAATACAATCATATTTAAATTATTTATAGTCTTACTTAATTGGTAATTTTCCGAAAAACAGATAAGGTACATACAATATTTGTTAATCGCAATTTGAATTTAATTCGTAAATACAAAAAATTTATAAGAAAAAATTTCTATTAAATATAGTTTTAAATAAGACTGTTTTGAAGTTCGCGCAAAAATAAAATACTTTCATAGGTTAACAATAGAATTATCACAGGCGGGTAAAGTTCGGGTAAACTTAGCTCTGTCGGGTAAAAACGGGTAATACACGAGTATTATCAGGGTAATGAGACAGCTAGGCATTGGCAGCACTGGCAAGATGGGTCCCGAGAATGCTTACGGCAGGAAGGGCTTCTTCTTCTTCTTTTTTTGGCCTTCACCCAAAGGGTATTTAGCCAGCTTCTTATGTACTTGTTTTTTTATTCAAGGGAATGCACCGTGAAGTGCATCTGAGATTGGTTACTCATATTCCGTCGATTGATATAAGTCAAAGTTATGATTCTTATTTAGTGGACATTCCAATACGATGTGATTTAAGTCACCCACCTGTCCACATTCACAATACGGGTGAGTCAGAATTCCTATTCTGTGCAGATGCTTTGTAACGATTCAAATAATATTCATAAAGGTTCTCGAGTATAGCCTACCGGTTTTGCCGATATATGTATACAGAGTTGCCTAATTTATATATGATCCATAAAAATCAAAATTAATTGTTATTATTAACAAGATAATCGGAAGTTGATTTATTAATGCCCATTTTTACTTTAACTGATTGAAATTTAGTGTACTATTTGTACGCTACACATATATATATAGGCTCATATTGTTTTGGAAATAGTGTGAACTTGCGGTAGGCGGATGCCGAAAATAAATAAAATGAATATGAACGTGTTCAATTTACTATCCTTAATGGTTCTTATTCAATGTCAAGATGTAGATGAGACATCAAAGAGTCACCAAGAGCTTAGCGCTGAGAGACAAAATGTTGAAAGTCAAGATGACTGAGATGTCAAGAGTTAATGCATATGAACCTCGCTGAGAAAAAGAATAGATTGTTGAAGAAAATTGGCAGATATGTCAATGAATTAACAGCGTTAGAAACAATTAGCTTTGGAAAACAACTGAAACAGAAAGATGATGAAACAGCTAATACCGATTATATCTTAATTAAAATTCCTATTGTCAAAAGAAGCAAAGATAACAGATTTATAGGCGCACTTTTCGCTAGTGTTAGCGCTTTCGTTGTTGAGTCGGGAATTTGGAGTGCATTTAAGTTAGGATGCTCAGAATTTTGAAATTATGCAGGTCAAATAGTGTTAGGGGAAATATTTACAAAATTGTTTAGCAACAAGACCAGGAGAACAGATATTCTTCGGTCAAGTGTCTAGAGGTGCGACTGAGAGAATTCCTCGTGTTAGGAGAAAACCTAATAATAACTAAGGTTTTTTAGTACTGGTTTTGATATCTGGTGATAATTTTTTTTGGCGAAGCTACAGTGCATAGCATTTTGCCCAAGCCGAGTGTAGCCGCTCTTTGTTACATAATCTCACCCAGGACCCGCATGAACTGTTAAAAATCCAGAAACATTACCTAAGTACAACAATATCTTGCACCGAGATGCCTATTTGCACCACTATGTCTGTCTTCAATACTGTGAGTAGCCGTCCATTTTCTAATTATTCCCTAGGGATACGTCGATACATCGCTTGCTGAAATCATAAAAACGTCGTATATATTATTGGCGATTAATGAAAATAAAATTCTAAAAATTATAAATTATTTGTCCCATAGACTTACTATTTTTTTGTTACTCTGTATTGTTTACAAATTTTCATGTAACTTCAAGACAGCAGTCTCGAGGACATCGATAGATATTCATCTATCGATATTGATTGCCTACCATTTAATTTTACATTTTTGTCTTCGTAAACCTAAAACAAATTATCAGTAGCAAATTTCATTACAGTAAAACTAGCATATCTTCATTTGCTTACCCTTAATGTATGCAAATACCATATTAACATTTAGATAATTATTTTTCCCTGTATCTAGGTAATTTTTTTGTAATTTTTACTTGGGTCAATTAATATTCTACATATTAAGCAGGTAATATTTAAAATATTAGATTATTATTAGGTATAAGAATTTACTTTAATCCAGAAGCACCATAGCACTTGCCGTTCGTATTTTTTGTAGTTTTGTTTGTGATATTTTATACGTTGGCGAAATTGTTACATACATACTTACCTTTTTTTGCTATATGCATTTCTATATACACTACAATCCATTTTTTTTTTATTTTTATTTTATACGTTCTGTGCTTTTGTTCCCTTCTCCCTTGTCAACACTAGTTGTTGACTGGCGCCCAATTCTTAGCTTGCAAATTACATAATAACATCAAACAGACATGCATATGATAAGACAATCTGTCATTATATATATTTTTTTCGTAGATCCACGCCCATTACCCCGAAACAACAGAGCTGTCGTGCAACATTGTCGTAAACCATATTATTAAAATCATTCCATTTATTTAGCGAAGGTTTTGCGTCACAGCTTGTTGGTTAAACAGTGACCTGTTCTCATTCTAATTATCGTTGTTAGATGCCTTCTGTCCTTATATGGAAACAAGGTGAACCATGGGGAACTTGGGAACTCCTTTTTGATCTGTGCGTAGCTGAAACCTCGTCAATTTCCATTCTTGTTTCCATTTAGCCTGTATTTGCTGCTTAATTGTTGGTAGGACATCATTTTTGTCTAGTTCTACTTCTACTTGATTTTCAGAATTTCTTCCAATGTTTGCCAGTGTGTCTATCATGGATGTTGGAATGATCCGAAATCCATGCCAATTTGATTTCGCAGCCGTTTGCCACTGCTTCTAACAACATTCTTTTTGTTTTCAGAGAAATGTGATCCCTCTATCTTTGTTGATTTCCATGCTCGAGATTTTTTGTAGAGCTGACTTTGAGTCCGAAAATATTACTGACTTGTCCAGGTACCTCTCTAGGCATATGGTAATGGCTTTGTTTATCGCTATAACTTCTGCAGTGCATATTTGTGTGAGTTGAGGAAGTCTTGCTGAGAATTTGTAGTTGATGCTTGGGATGAACACTCCTAGTCCCACGTTTCCTTGATTTTTGTCCAGGGAACCATCGGTGAAGATCCAGGTATGCTGTTCGAACCTTGGTCCAAATATACTTAGGAATTCTTTGTTGCTGTTTGTTTGCGCTCTGTCGTTGTTGATGTTAGCAACTTCAATTGGAGTTATCTGATGTACGTGTTCTATTTCGAAACATGGTAGGATTTTTCCCGCATGTATGTTGTACGCATGTTGATCTACTTCTTTTAGCGCTTCAATAATGTATGGCACCTTCCTCCGTGTCCGGTAACCTCGTTTGGATTGACAGTAGCTGTCCAGTTCTAGTAATAATTCTGATATTGGGTGTTCTTGTTCTGCGAAATTTACTAGCCTCCTGTACTCCAGTGCCATTTTCGCACACTCTGCTAATAGTACGTTGGTTGAGGTGGACCTCATGCATCCTGTTACGATTCTTAGTGGTATTGTATTTTGTCCAATTTGGCAAAGACTTGTTTCGGACAGTGTTTCATCAACTGTGAACCATAATCGAGATGTGAACGTACAATTCCTTTATACATGAGTAGCAATGTCGATGGATCTGCTCCCCACCATGTACCACAAAGTGATTTCATTATGTTGATTCCTTTTAGGGCTTTTGTTTTGACATGTTCTACTTGCTCGTTCCAATTTAGGGACTGTGTTATTTTGATTCCTAGATATTTTACCGAGTTCTTCCAGGGGATCAGATGGTTGTTGATGGATACTGAGGGGTAAGGGTGCCTGGATTTTTTTTCCTGAACATGATTGCCGAAGATTTGGTGATGAACAACGTCAAGTCGTGTCTACCTAACAATTCGTTTACATTCTCTAAGACAAGATTCATTTCCTTTGTTAGGTTTGTCCCGGAGGCGGAGGTACCTTTAGTCATTATTACTATATCGTCGGCATACTGCACCAGTCGAAACTGTTCAGGGATAATATTTGCCAAATCAGACGTGTATATGTTAAAGAGTATTTGGGCTTAGCGGGGATCCTTGGCATAACCCTCTATTGTTTAATCTCGGACCGAGTATCTGCCCATCATTGTCTTTAAGATCTATTTGTTTGTTATGCAGAAACTGAAATATCAAGTTTGTAAGTTGATGAGAAACGCCCAGGTCTAGGAGTCTCATACAATTTATACATATTTACATTATCGTAGGCAGCGTGGATGTCCAGAAATACAGCTAGTGTGACCTCGTCTCTTTTGAAGCCTATTTGTGCATACGAAGTTAAATATGCAACACACTCTATGCATCCTTTACGTCTTCTGAACCCGAACTGTGATGGTGGGAGTAATGCTTTGTTTTCAATGTACCAATCAAGCCTGTTTTTGATCATGCTCTCTAAAATCTTGCCTATACGAGAGCTATGGGACGATAATTTTCTGGCTGATTCGAGTCTTTCCCGACCTTAAGCAGGGGGTTTACTAAGATCCATTTCCATTGCACGGGTTGATTTGTCCCGAACAAAACCTCATTATACAGATTTAATAGGAATCTATTTGCTGCAATTGGTAAGTTGTTTATCATCGTGTATATTATTTGATCGATGCCTGGAGCTAACTTTTTTTCCTTCTCATGGCTGCCATTAGTTCTACATACAGAAATGGAGGTTCGTTGGTTCCTTGTCTAGCTCTAAAGTCAGGAATTATATGGAGTGCACTCACTGATTCTAGTATTTGACTGGCTATATTTCGTTCTGGTAGCCTGTTTTGAAATTGCGGGGATTGTCTTTTGGAAAATTTTCTTACTGTTTGACAAATTTTTTTCAATGGCGTGTTCCTATTTAGTTTAGAGCAGAACTTCCTGAAACTGCTTTTTTTTCTTTTGAATGTTCTTCTGGAGAGGGCGATAGATTTTTTTACCATTAGGTAATTTTCTAGACTTGGGTTCACATGAAGGGGTTATTGTTGTGCGAATTCCTGCCTATTGTTACAACCATAAATGACCGCTACTGTGAAACGTTGAAGAACGCGCGATAGTAGAGTATGTTGGAGAGTTCTAATACACCCCCCACTCCATTTTACCCCCCACCATTTTTTTGGNTTGTTGACTGGCGCCCAATTCTTAGCTTGCAAATTACATAATAACATCAAACAGACTTGCATATGATAAGACAATCTGTCATTATATATATTTTTTTCTTAGATCCACGCCCATTGCCCCGAAACAACAGAGCTGTCGTGCAACATTGTCGTAAACCATATTATTAAAATCATTCCTTTTATTTAGCGAAGGTTTACGTCACAGCTTGTTGGTTAAACAGTGACCTGTTCTCATTCTAATTATCGTTGTTAGATGCCTTCTGTCCTTATATGGAAACAAGGTGAACTATGGGGAACTTGGAAACTCCTTTTTTATCTGTGCGTAGCTGAAACCTCGTGAATTTGTACTCAATTTCCATTTTTGTTTCCATTTAGCCTGTATTTGCTGCTTAATTGTTGGTAGGACATCATTTTTGTCTAGTTCTACTTCTACTTGATTTTAAGAATTTCTTCCAATGTTTGCCAGTGTGTCTACCACTAGGTTCCCATGGATGTTGGAATGACCCGGAATCCATGCCAATTTGATTTCGCAGCCGTTTGCCACTGCTTCTAACAACATTCTTTTTGTTTTCAGAGAAATGTGATCCCACTATCTTTGTTGATTTCCATGCTCGAGATTTTTTTGTAGAGCTGACTTTGAGTCCGAAAATATTACTGACTTGTCCAGGTACCTCTCTAGGCATATGGTAATGGCTTTGTTTATGGCTATAACTTCTGCAGTGCATATTTGTGTGAGTTGAGGAAGTCTTGGTGAGAATTTGTAGTTGATGCTTGGGATGAACACTCCTAGTCCCACGTTTCCTTGATTTTTGTCCAGGGAACCATCGGTGAAGATCCAGGTATGCTGTCCGAACCTTGGTCCAAATATACTTAGGAATTCTTTGTTGCTGTTTATTTGCGCTCTGTCGTTGTTGATGTCAGCAACTTCAATTGGTGTTATCTGATATGTGTGTTCTATTTCGAAAAATGGTAGGATTTTTCCCGCATGTTTGTTGTACGCATGTTGATCTACTTCTTTTAGCACTTCAATAATGTATGGCACCTTCCTCCGTGTCCGGTAACCTCGTTTGGATTGACAGTAGCTGTCCAGTTCTAGTAATAATTCTGATACTGGGTGTTCTTGTTCTGCGAAATTTACTTGCTAGCCACTTCCTCCTGTACTCCAGTGCCATTTCAGCACACTCTGCTGATAGTACGTTGGTTGGGGTGATCCTCATGCATCCTGTCACGATAGTGCTTGGTATTGTATTTTGTCCAATTTGGCAAGGACTTGTTTCGGACAGGGTTTCATCAACTGTGAACCATAATCGAGATGTGAACGTACAATTCCTTTATACATGAGTAGCAATGTCGATGAATCTGCTCCCCACCATGTACCACAGTGATTTCATTATGTTGATTCCTTTTAGGGCTTTTGTTTTGACATGTTCTACTTGCTCGTTCCAATTTAGGGACTGTGTTATTTTGATTCCTAGATATTTTACCGAGTTCTTCCAGGGGATCAGATGGTTGTTGATGGATACTGAGGGGTAAGGGTGCCCGGATTTTTTTTCCTGAACATGATTGCCGAAGATTTGGTGATGGACAACGTCAAGTCGTGTCTACCTAACAATTCGTTTACATTCTCTAAGACAAGATTCATTTCCTTTGTTAGGTTTGTCCCGGAGGCGGAGGTACCTTTAGTCATTATTACTATATCGTCGGCATACTGCACCAGTCGAAACTGTTCAGGGATAATATTTGCCAAATCAGACGTGTATATGTTAAAGAGTATTTGGGCTTAGCGGGGATCCTTGGCATAACCCTCTATTGTTTAATCTCGGACCGAGTATCTGCCCATCATTGTCTTTAAGATCTATTTGTTTGTTATGCAGAAACTGAAATATCAAGTTTGTAAGTTGATGAGAAACGCCCAGGTCTAGGAGTCTCATACAATTTATACATATTTACATTATCGTAGGCAGCGTGGATGTCCAGAAATACAGCTAGTGTGACCTCGTCTCTTTTGAAGCCTATTTGTGCATACGAAGTTAAATATGCAACACACTATATGCATCCTTTACGTCTTCTGAACCCGAACTGTAATGGTGGGAGTAATGCTTTGTTTTCAATGTACCATTCAAGCCTGTTTTTGATGATGCTCTCTAAAATCTTGCCTATACGAGAGCTCAAAACTATGGGACGATAATTTTCTGGCTGATTCGAGTCTTTCCCGACCTTAATCAGGGGGTTTACTAAGATCCATTTCCATTGCACGGGTTGGTTTGTCCCGAACAAAACCTCATTGTAATTAGTAAGTTGTTTATCATCGTGTATATTATTTGGTCGATGCCTGGAGCTGAACTTTTTTTCCTTCTCATGGCTGCCATTAGTTCTACATATAGAAATGGAGGTTCGCTGGTTCCTTGTCTAGCTCTAAAGTCAGGAATTATATGGACTGCACTCACTGATTCTAGTATTTGACTGGCTATATTTCGTTCTGGTAGCCTGTTTTGAAATTGCGGGGATTGTCTTTTGGAAAATTTCCTTACTGTTTGACAAATTTTTTTCAATGGCGTGTTCCTATTTAGTTCAGAGCAGAACTTCCTGAAACTGCTTTTTTTCCTTTGAATGTTCTTCTGGAGAGGGCGATAGATTTTTTTTACCATTAGGTAATTTTCTAGACTTGGGTACACAGGAAGGGGTTATTGTTGTGCGAATTCCTGCCTATTGGTACAACCATAAATGACCGCTACTGTGAAACGTTGAAGAACGCGCGATAATAGAGTATGTTGGAGAGTTCTAGTCCACCCCCCCACCCCATTTTACCCCCACCACTTTTTTTGGCCCAGCCAATCAGAAGACGGAGAGTTCTAATCCGTCCCTCCCACTACTTTCCTCCCACCACTTGTCCCCGCCTCTTTTTAACCCAGCCAATTAGAGGACGGAGAGTTCTAGTCCGCCCCTCCCACTACTTTCCTCCCACTACTTGGCCCCGCCTGAAGAACTTCCAGTGTTTGGAGCATCACCTGATTGTCTCGTAAATTGTGAGTGTTGTGGCATGGGATGTGTTGAAGTTAAATGTCCTTATTCATTGTTAAATATGACATTTGATGAATTTATTGATATGAAAAATACTTGTTTTGTGCGAAATGAAGATGGTTCATATTCATTAGACCAGAATCATTCTTATTTTTTTCAAGTACAGTTACAAATGTTTGTGACAAAATTACAATATTGTGATTTTGTAATATGGTCCAAAACCGAACTGTATATAAATAGGATTAGGTTTGATAAATGTTTTTGTCAAAAAATCATTGAAAGCGCATTAAATTTCCATCAGCATATTGTTAAACCCGAATTATTGGCAAAATATTTTACCCGCCAGGGTGGTGCAGGACAAGTAGAAACGTGGTGTATATGTGAAAAGCCTGATGATGGTCGACCAATGGTACAATGTGACAACGATGATTGCAACATCAAATGGTATCATTTTGAAAGTGTCAACGTCGTTGACGCACCAGACACACTTTGGTTCTGTAACTGTTGTATATAGCGATAAATGTTGAATATATATTTTTTTTCACAGAAATCTGTCTAATTTTTGCTTGTATTGAGAATGAATTTTTTTCATGAAGAAAGTTAATATTTCTTGTACAGGGTGTTCAGAGAAATAAAAAAAAATATGAAAATGTAGAGTAAACTACCTTTATTTTTACACAATAAAATGTATAAAATATTAATAAAGTAACTGGAAAAACTTAAAAAAAGTGGAAAATAAATATATACAATCACATATAAAATAATCCTGTTTTAAAATTGATAACATCAATTCATAGGGATATGGGAGGACATAAATTTAAAAAAGCGCTGCAAATTACCAAAATTTTGTCTATGGCACTTAAATTGTCCTTTGAAATGGATATCATACTAATTGGCAGCGGACCTCCACAAATTTTATACTTTCTTCTAAGTAGACCGATTACTCTTTCTATATGAATTCTGACATTGGCAATTTTTCGGGTACTTTCAATATCAACTGGATGTAACTGGTTTTTACCTTTCGTAAAAGCTGGAATTTCTAAATGACCTCCTAAAGTTTCAACAGAGTCTTGTATTAAAAAGCCTCTATCTGCTAAAATAATATCTCCTGGCAAAATTTTGTTTAAAAAGCCACAATTTTCTGTTAAATATTTATCACTGCTCCTACCAGTCCAGGCTTCAGAAATGAAAGAAATTGTGCCCTGTGGAGTTATACCAATTAAAACTTTAATTCTATGGTGATGTTTATAATTTGACCAATACCGTGCTGCGTTTAGTAAACCTAATGGGGTCTCACAAAAAATTTCAAAACAATCTATTATAACCGTTACACGATTTCCAAAATTTTCTTTAAAACATTCCGGTATATTTTTTCTAAGTGTTTCTCTATCGGGCCAAACTACAAGCCCCTTATATCTAGCGTACATTACATCTACACATTTATAAAATATATCTGATGCAGTAGACGGAGCAATACCAAATTTATAAGACAAATATTTAAAAGGTAAGTTGATACGTAACTTCATTAGAGTTAACAAGAATTGCTTAAATGGACTTAAAACGCTTTTCACTAATAAAAAATTGGATATATTTTTAAAAATTATCATCATCATTTCTGTTTTTGGAAATCCTGTAAAATAAAATGTTTTATCGTCATTATTTACAAAGAATTCTTCTGAGATGTCCAATATATTTAATTCTTTCTGCAACAACTGAATTCTTTCAGTGGTAAAATTTGCATCAGTTAATAATTTGGTAATGTCATCCACGCTCATATCGGTTTGCACTTCAACACTCCTATTTCCCTCTTTAGTGTATTCCAGCTCTGTCGAAGCTTCTACTGTAAAATCTTTTGATGGCCCTACTTCGACAATATCCAAGTTATCCTGGAAAGATGTAAAAGTTGCTTAATAACTAGGTATGCCAGTATTTGCTTTTCAGAATAGGTTTAAAAATAAATAATATATACGTACTTGTTCTAGACGTTTTGATCGTTTCGCAGTTCTAATATGCCTCTCAATGGCTTGCTTGCCTCTTGTTTTAATCGAAGTGTATCCCATATTTTGGCTAGGACTCCAATCTGGATTATTTCTATCCTCTAGTTCCGCTGGAGCCCTTATTTAATAATATTATTTTTAGTCCTTTAAAATCATTATTTATAAAAATAAACATTTAAAAACATTATTCTACATAGTTACTTACCGCTAATAAAATGTTTACTTCAGATACGAGCGTTTTTTTAGGAAAGTTTCACTCAAATTTCCACGTTTTAGGGATTTAACCCAACATTTCCTACGTTCTCTAGACAATACGTTTAATTTTTCTTCGCGATCTTTGAACGCTGCAGGTATTCTAAAAAAACGTACTTGGTCTTTTTCTGCCCTTGCAGAACACCCTACAACTACACAAAACGAAGGCATCGTAATATTTTTTGTCTCAAAACGTCAGGTGATTAACCTTTAAATACTTTGTTTGCCCCTCAGATAATATGGCGGCCTACTTGTGACGTCATCCCGAAATGGTCTATTAGAGGACGGAGAGTTCTAATCCACCCTCCCAACCTTTGTCCTCCCAAACTGCAATGACTTTAAATTGAACATAATTTTTAGTTTATTTTAAAATGTCGTACCAGGCAAGTATTTTCGAATTACCTGATCTTAAAATCGATATACCGAATACCCTACCACCAGCTTTTCAGAATAAAAATGATTGTGTAGTTATAAGTGAAAGAAAATTTCATTTAAACAAATCAAAAACCAAATTTGTGTCTATCGGATTAGCATGTGATTTTAATTATGAACCCTACGTAAAACTAAGTGGAAATAAATGTAATGCTTTAATGTTCCAACAGAGAAGAATGGAAATGTTTTCTTGCATATCAAGGAATTATAACAAATTACTTCTATAACAATATTTCCATTGATCCCGTAGAAGACGAAAAATTTCGTTTCGGAGTTTGTAGAAGTGCAAAATTCTCTAATTGTAAAGATTTTGAAAAACAATTCTTATATATACCTGGGCTATGAAACTATATGCAATTTATGGGAATATGTATCTATGATCGATTATCGACTGGATATATTAGAGAGATTACATTTCCCCAAATTACTTTATGATTGTGCAAAAATGGTTGCAGAGTCAAGCTGGAAATATAATTGAAAATGCAATGAATTTACTCCAACCGTCAAAAAATCGAAATAGTGAAAATGTCTCCATGATTATGGAATTAATTTATTTGTATCCAAAAGTATTTGAAGCTGAGTGTGGCCGTAATGAAGAAAGTTACATTTAATGAAAAAGAAAATAAAATACACATCCTTATAGCCTGGCCGGTTGCATACAATGAATCTAGGAAGAGATACTGGGAAAATTTTGCTAGTGATAGAGAGCGTTTCCAAAGAAAAATAGCTAAGCTGTCAAATATTATAAATCCTGTATTAGATAGTAGTCACAGACATAAAATATATATTAAAAGATTTTGTTAATGTGTTTCCTAATAAAAATGTATTGTTAGATTGTGTTTTATTGAAATGAAACAAATATTTATTATTTATATTTTATTAAAAATTAAACGGGTTACAAAAAGTATCAAATAAAAAATATACATTTGAAAGTGCACAAATACAGTAATTTTCACAATGATAAAAGCATTTTGATGTATCTTTTTGTAAGTCTGTAGTGGGAGTAGCGGAGAATTTTACATAAGGACGGTGAAAATGTGTGCTATCGAACTCAGTTAGATGTATAATTTCGAAAAATGCAATAAAAAAAATAAGCGACTAAAAAAACATTGTTTTCTCTTATGTGTTGCTTCCTCCCCTCCCCTGTCTTAAATTATATTTCATTACGAATTTACGACTTTAAGATCTCAATAGCTTTTCTGCTAGAGATAATTATATTATTTGTACAACTGACTGACTGTACATATGACGATATGTCGTGAAAAAAAGATTACATTACGAATAAATACAATTTTCTAAACTTCACTGGCTTTATTACTTACTTTTATATATAATTGCTGTAATTACAAATTACACATCAAATATATTTTATGTACTATACGGTAATTACAATACTCAAATATAATTTTATTACTACAAATTTACAACAATTTTACTAAGTGTTAAGAATAAAATATTATGACTTATTGCATATACATATCTATAAATACATATTACAAATTAAATTCAAAACAACAAATTTGTACAGCTACACAGATGACAATATTTTATAAAATAAGGATGTGTTTTGTACTGGCCGCTGAGTTTGACCAAAATCCGATGAGGTAATACTTCTTGAATTAATTTTAGTTGCTTGGGCATTTATTTCAATTTTCGTAAATAACTCATCTATTGTTATTCTTTTCTCCAAATACAACTTCATCCATTCATTGTTAATATGCATTCTTCTTAAAGCCTCCAACAAGAAGTACATTCGATCTTTATAGTTATAAATTTTATTCATCAATGTCACCGTTAAGCATGTTTTTCTTAAATAACCCCCTTGATCATACTCTAACATTTTATCCACCCAGCACTTTTTACAAATAGTATTATTTATTCTGTCCCGATTCCAGAACAGAGCCGTCGCTTTTACAACACATGTTTTCTTTAATAACTCTAACTCGAGTTTATTATTGATGGTTTTTAACGTTTCTACTTCACTGTACATATTTGATTATTAAACTAAATTTTAATGTATATGTCGAGTTCATTTTATAGATATCGTAGACTTGTAGTAGGGATTAAAATGAGAAAGATTTTAAAAACGAAAAGATAAAACCAAGCCCTCGCTTAATATCATGATTTTAAATTGTCTTATTATGTTCGTCAGAGCGAGTTTTATAAACGAGTATAATGTACTGCATACAACTGGTTAAAGAATTTAAAATAAAACATGAATAAAGTTGCCTTGGCCGTGTTGGCTTAATGCACCGGAGAGAGCTGTCGTCTTGTTTTATTTCTGTCTGAGCGCTTCGATCCGCAAGTTAAAGAATTCAAAATAAAACAAAAGAATTAAAGCCGTCTCGGTCGTGTAGGACGCGCTGCATCGAGACCACATTCCATACATAATTTTATGTCTGCAAAG